ATCTTGCGGGAAATTGATCACGTGACCTCTATATCCAAGTTGCCCACCTTGAAGATTAAAGACAGTTAACATTGGAAGAATCTGTGCGATTAACATTTCCTCAACTTGGCTAAGCTGAGGTAACTCAGTTGGTACTTCTCCTAAAATAAAATATTTATTAAATTTGCAACAAATATATACTTTAATATATATATTAATATAATATCTATCTTATTGCATACCCGGATCCATATCATTCTCAGGTGAAAATCTCTTTGGAGTCGATTTTTCTCTACTACATCTACTGCAAGCACCAGTTTGATTATTTAGAATAACAGAAGGAAAACATTCCTTACAAATTAGACAATAATTATGTTTAAGTTCTGCGATAGCATCACGAAATTTTTTTAGAAGACAACGATCATCATCAGTAATTTGACCGGCGGGTAATTCTAAAATAGGTAATTATATGTTATAATAACGATAATTATATATATATAATTAATAATATTTGTACCCTTAATGCTGTTTTCTACATTTGTACGTTCGTCTCTATTTGTGTTCTCTTTCTCTAATCGACGTTCACGGCGAGCTTGTCTCTTTTCTGACTCACTTTTTCTATATGCTAATTGCTGTTCCTGAGTCATTAAAATTTTTCGTCGTCTTCTACCTTCATTTTTTATTGCGATTTGCTCAGGTGTGTAAGTTCTTTTTTTCATTTTTAAAATTTATCAAATTGTAAGAATTTCCAATACGATTAACCATAATAAAATTTTTCTAATAAATATTCAAATTTTGATTACAGTATAATTATGCATTTTATGACATATTTTATGACGGTATTTTAAAAATAAGCTTTGTAATAAGCTCTACACATCAAGTGACTATCGTACTTTTTTGCATTTTAAAATTTACCAAATTGAAAGAATTTCCAATACAATTAATTTTTCAATGCAATATTCAAATTTTGATTACAGTATAATTACGTATTTTATGACATTTTATGATGGTATTTCAATAATAAATTTTATAATAAGCTCTATACATCAAGTAACTATTGTACATGCAATACCGTAATTTAATGATTTAATGAAATAAATATAATCTTTAAAGGTCTGTTACTTTATTTTGAACTAAGATATTGGTGTCCAGATATTGAACTTGATTTAGGATCAATTTTTTGGTTACGCAACCTAAAATCTGGATCAGTTGAACCGGGAACCGGACATTTTCGAAAATTTCGTAGTGTAAGACTTAAAGGTCCGTTACTTTATTTTGAACTAAAATTTTGATGTCCGATTTAGGTTCAATACTTGGATACGCAACCTAAAATCTGAATCAGTTGAACCGGGAACCGGACATTTTCGAAAATTTCGTAGTGTAAGACTTGAAAGGCTTTCACCTCGCTTCACTCAGCTCCAGCCAATTAGTTTATTGTTAGGTATTAACCAAGAAAGTTTGCAAAAATAATAATACTTATAATAAATACATACTGTACATTTTTAGTACAAATTATCTGGTACTAGTTTTCAAAGTTACTTATTCCAAAATTTTTACTCTAGCCCGGGATAGACATTGAATAGCTTAGAATTAGTTTTTAAAAATAATATGTCATGAACCGTGTTTGGATCTAACCGATTTCGCTTTTTAGTTATAATATTTCCTGCATCTGAAAATAACCGTTCAGAGGGCACAGAAGTGGCTGGGAATGAAAGATATTTGCGTGCCAAAGTTGCTAAATTTGGATAATCTTTTGGTTTGTACACCACCAAGTAAGAGGATTATGTATTTTATAAAGAGGTTCATCGATAAAATATTTATTCATTTGTGTCACTTTTTCATAACGCTCTAATTCATTATTCACAAGGTAATCAGAAGTTTCGCCATCATAAAACCTATCCATTTCAGTTTGTGCTAAGGTATTAGTAGTAGTTTCAGTTGCAGTTATCATTTCAGATAAAATATCTAAAATTCTTTTTTTTTTTTTCATTGCTAACAAAGGATAAGTTTTTGAACCGGGGGTCTAAGTAAGAGGCAATATAAGCTTCTATTGGGGGTGATTCCCAGCGAGCAGATATAGAATCCTCAATTAGTTGGCAAATGCTTAGAATGTAAGGTGAAGTAAGTGATAGTTTTATATGACGCAAATGTGATGATAAAAGTGAAATAGTAGGAAGCATCATGCTAAGAGTAGGATATTGTGCACCACCAATTAATTTTGTTGCCTGAGCAAAAGGTGATAAAAGTATGATTAACTCATCTAACGCTTTCCATTCTAATTCGGAAAGCAATTTTTCACTTAAAACTTGTCCATCTTTTCTTTGTTGTAAATCAGGGTGACGACACAAAGATTTTGCAAGTTGTTCTGTTGAATCTCGTAATTGAACTATCCTTTTTAAAACAAAATAAGTAGAGTTCCATCTAGTTTTAACATCACGGATAGGCTCTACAATAGATATTTTTTATTTTTTGCTTGTTCAATTGACTGTGTTAGTAAATTATCATCATCTGATTCAGAATCGTCATCACCTAATAATGGCCATTCTAAATTTTCAGACTCATCTGCAGATAGTTGATTGAATTCGTTTTGAATATTGTGAAGACTTTGACGATATCGATCTCTTTTTACTAACCAGTTGTTTAGCTTTTTTGCTTTGGTTAAAAGATCATCACATGCATTAAGGCCATCTTTAATAGCCAACTAAATTGTGTGTGCTGTGCATTGAATATGAGGTGTTTCAAGAAGACGCATCCCCTTAACAATTGAACTGTAGTTCCTCCAACCAATTTGTCACATATATTTCAATGATCCAAAATTTTTGATAAAAATTGTTCTTGACGTTCTCCTGAGTATGAATAAGGAAACTCTTCTATAGTTAAAACTGCTTGATATAAATCAAAATTTTTTGAAAGCCAATGAATTGTCACACCAATATAAGGACGATGCATGCTTGTCCACATATCTGTGGTAAAAGAAAATGTTTTCATTGTTTCAGATATTAAATTACGTAACTGGTCTTCAGCAAAAAGTAACAATTCTTTAATTTTTGTTTTAATTTGTGCTGAACCAGGAACTTTAAAACGAGGGTCCATTTCATAACAAAAACGATGAAAATTTTGACCATCAACAACACTCATTGGCTGACAATCTTCAACAATCCATGCTGCTAAATGAAATACTAATTTTTCTTGTTTGACAGATTTATGAGGATCTATTTTTAATAACATTGAAGGTATGGTTCGAATAGATTTATCTGATTGTATAATTGTTTGTCCTTGTGATTTTTTTTTTATATTGTTTACTAGGAAAAATTCTATGAATTGTATTAAGATGTTCGCCAAGGTGTGTAGTTGAAGTCGTGATACTAAAAGTTCTATTACATATTTTACTATTTCCGTCTAATAATGTAACTACCTCACATTTAACTTGTTTGTTTAATCTATCCTTTTTCATAAAATCCCAAACCCAGCTAATATTTGGTAATCTTGCATTAGACTTAACAATAGTATTTGATAATATTTCAGTAGCTGGGGCTTTTAATGACTGATCAAAGTTATTCTGGTGACTATCCTCACTTTCACATAATTCATTAAATTGTTCTTGAGGCTCATGTTACAGCAGAGACAATCCGAATATGGAAATGATTTTCATGTTAAATTATCATTGTTTGGACCAATCAAAATAGCATAA